GAGAAATGGAAGATAGTGCCTGTGTTGTAAATCAAAAAGAGGCCTTTTTCTTAGGCTGTATCCTCTGTACCTTGATTCCTTGGGAGTAAGTAGATAAAGATCAAGTAATACAGTTTGAAAAGAACCATTGGAGATCATCTCCAGAAGTTGAATTTGAGAAGAGGAAAGAACGAATACATAGTAAAGCTGGGATAGCTGGAAGGGATGCCAAGCATAAGGCAGTAGGACAGTGATAAGAAACTGGTGGGGAGCAAGTAGGCAATGGTAGAGCTGTGAGCAACTCTTGAAATATAATTAAAAGCAGTAGGCAGCTTGCAGTACAGATGCTTCTGGGAGGTCTGCCTGTAGTTCTTGCATTTTTCTCTCAACAGTCAAAAATTTGGATGTGCCTTTTCTTTTGTATTTGCATGCATCTGATTTGAAACCAAATGTGAACTTTTTCATCAGCATTCCCGTAGGTTCTACAGGAAGCTGTAGGTTTTGAGCATAAAGAAGTCATATCTGAGCAATACTGATCTTTGTGCTAATATGAACCAACAAATGTATTTTTATCCCTATTCTATTTCCACTGTATATATTTCAGTTAAAAGTGTTTTCATTTGGTGCACTTTCAACTGTGGGAGTAAGAAGCAGGAAGGACTAAGTACTTGGGTGATGGTTTCTGTGTAGACAAACTTCCTTCCCCTCACCCCAGTAAAAACAACACTTGTTGCTTGTTGATAGCTACCAGGAAAGTTTTTGTCATACCTTGTTGGTGAAAATGTAAAGGTTGAAAGGAGCAACAGTAAAAATGTTTGTTCTTGACAGCCAAGTGAGGTTGTGCTGGTTAACTTCACAATTCAATATACCTATGCCAGGAGGCTGTGGGCCAAGTGTGTCATTTTAGGAGTCATCCTGCTGTAGTGAGTTGACAGTAGTGTGAAATAATTAGTGGTTGTAGTGCATGCTCTATGCAATACAGTAGCTTAAAAAATATATAGTAAGACTTACGGCCTTTCTTTTCTCTAGTACTGATCTGATATAATAGCAGTGTAATTGAATAAGGTATTTCAGATAGTTTGTGAAAATCAGAACCTGAAGTATTTTAGCAGTTGTAGTGAGGGTAAAAAATATAGTTCCAGACCAGTCTATGTTTGTACTATAGTTAATGTTGCAGGGTTTTGATACCTATATGCAATCTGAAGATTCAGTAAAAAGACCTTTTTTATACTGTTTGTACAATATGGTCTGTAGAAAAGGCAGGGATAGTCTGTTAATGGTTTTGGTAGATTATTAAGGGCACTGCCTCCAATACAGAAAAATAATATACCCCAGTGTCCCCATTGTCCAGAGGAAATGAACCAGCATATCCAAGTATGCTAATTAACAAAGTTTCAGGAGTTAATTTTTGTGCGTAACATCCTTTCAATTCCTTAAACCAGCATATCCAAGTATGCTAATTAACAAAGTTTCAGGAGTCCATTTTTGTGCAGAACATCCTTACAGTTCAAAGAATAATTCTGTTGCTTCCAGAACTGGAACAGAAGTTTCTTGATAGAAACTTATTTCCACATTCCCTTTTCAGGCGACTCAGAAACCATCCTCTAAAACCAGTGTGCAGCATTTGAAATCCAAAATAGCTACAATTATCTAGAATGGCTTGTTCTGTTGTGTTTCTTTATAGAGGGAATTGTTTTTTTCCCCACAGAGGAGATCTGTCTTGAAATTTTTACACATCCCTGGCATTTTGAAAAGGAAATCTAGAGAGACACAGTGTGTCTAGATCTCAAATGCCCTGTTGTTAGAAGAGACTTTGTCTTGGGCTAAAGTGTTAAAGGTTTTGAACATGCAGGAGAACATTCAATTAGAAGCTACCTGGAGTTTGCCAGGTACTGAAGTACAGCTGTGTTATACTGATAGACTAAAGATCAAATGCTGGATTTCTCTTGTTAATTCCTGTTGATGACAACATTGCTCTCTGGGATATCTTTTTGTGAGATTATGTACCTTAAAGGTGTGGAGATGTTAGAAGAAAATAGTCAATAGAGGAAATATAACGCATTTGCTTTCTTTGTTCATATGCGTTCTAATGCAGTCGTTATTTATATAATTGGTTTCTTTTTCCAAGATGCCATTGCCTTAATTCCATGGTATAGATGTGTTTCTAGGACTAAATGAAGTCAGTATCTGCAGGACCATACCCCTGGCTGTTGGAGAGGCTGGAAGACGAGTGGGATGAATGATTTCAGCTACAAGAAGGATGAGTCTTATGGTTACAGCAATTGAGTTCTGATAGGTTGTTTTTCTGAACCTCATTTGGCCACTTTAACTGTGTTCCACAGGCAGTCAATAGTTCTGGAGTTTGCAGACAGCCAGCTTAAGCCCTGTTAGTAAATTTTTAATGTATTTGCCTAGGTTTTAAAAAGCCTAAAAACTGGACACAAAAATTTTATGTTGTAAGCCTTGGCCAAATCCTTCATGGTTCATTAGCATGACTGAACAGGTTAGATACACTACACTTTGTCATTTGACCAGGAGAAGAGCTGGAAGCAGTAGTGTGTGTCGTCATCTGTGTGTGCCAGCAGAAGTAGCAGGGAAGCACTCTGGATTGGTTTGCACAGGATGGAAGAATCAAGAGACTTGAAAATGTGCTTCTGTTTTTACACTGAGCTCAGGCAGTTGTATATGCCTTTGAGAGTTCTACATCTGTTACCTAGCATTTTTTAAAGTCAGCTTTCTTGCCCTAACCTGCCTCAATTTGGCATCACATGCTAGTCCAAACCTCTGAACGGGTCAGATCCCAATCAATCCTCTCTCTTGGTCTTTCTTCATGGACTTTTTTTCTGGGCTGTTATCTTTTCCCCTGCCACATCTTCTTTTTCAGTTTGCTCCCCTAGCTCTTTGTCTGAGGTTTTTGCCATGTGAATCCTTTGTTGCCTTCTGGTCTGGTCAGTGCTGTGGTGCTGTGTTTCAGTATTTTGTACTGCCTGCTTTCTCTTGAACTAGAGAAACTAGACAATTAGTTGCTGGTAATGTCTTTCAGGCTACTACTCCTACACTGGTGCCTCTTCGGACAAATGGCTTCCTTCTTCCCAGGCATAGAGAGTCACTAACAGGGTCCAAGGGAAGGGAGATGGGACATACAGAATCTGTCTTTCCATACTCAGTTCCTGTATTGCCTGTTGTGTTAAAAATAATCTGCAAAAGGTCTTGTTTGCCTGTTCCTACTGGAATATGCCTGAGTGGCTTGAGAGGCTGGCTCAGTCTCAAACCTGTCCGTGAGTAAGATCTCTCAGTGGGTGGTAGCATGCATGGCACAGATGGTCTCTTCAGAAACGTAGGTGCTAGATCCTGACAAGATTCAGTGAGCACGTGCTAGCTGGTTTTTTTCTCTCCTCCCCCCTATTTTGGTGTTTTTGTCTTGACACAGGGGAAGAAAACCCCACCACCAAACAAAAAAAGTTTAGGTTTTTTCATAGGCTTCCTTCTTGAGTCTTCTTTCAAAAATATCAGGCAGTTGTGCTTTCTTGTCAAAGCATATGATAAGTCAACTTACTTCAGTGAAGCACCAGACTTCTGCAAAAATTCAGCTTGGGTGCAAGCATGTAGCATTGCACCTTGTAAGTTAAAATACATCAAATTTGGCCATGTTTAAAGAATTTGAAGTCAGAAATGTATAAGAAAAGAGGTTTGAATAAAAACAATACTACCAGTTAAATTTTTAATTTAGAAAAAAAGGTTTTCTGAAAAGTGTTTCCTGGCTAAAGTTTTTTTTTAAATAAAGTTTTTTAAAATATGTATGTGTGTGTATATATACGTATATATGCAGTATCAGTAATTAGTTTTGTCCTGAATTGGATTATGTTTTTTCTGGAGAATTCTGTATGTGAAGTATTTTTATACCCTTAATTACAAAAACTGTTTACAACTATTTCTTTGTCTTGACTTCTTCAGTCCAGCTGTATCTCAACGAATGTTGTTACATGAGCAACCATAAATGTCAGCTGTTTTTTATTACTCATCGCCTTGACCTGAGTTTCTGTATAGTGTTCTGTTATTCATTCTTGTACAAAATAAGTGTGTTGCTCTGAATTTGTAATATGTTGTGCTTATTTTGCATGACATTTGGGGCCTTTTTATTAGGCCTCTGTTCCCGTGGGCTTTGTTTTCCAGTTCTGTACAAAATGTCTTGGTGGTGATCTGTATTGCATTATGTTGTTTCTGATCAAAAGGGTTCACAGGTGAAATACTGGGATTTTTTTAAATGAACTTTTCTAGTTGATAGTTTACTGTATCAATGTGTTCCTAGCCTTATGGTTGTATATTGTATTCTAAGTGTTTTATGTATTTGAACTTTCATGTGTTTATAGGCTTAGTAGGGAAAAGAAATACCAGTGAGTATAACAACCTCTGAGCATCCAGTCTGCAGGGTACCAGGTTACAAATCTCACCCTATTTGTTACACTTCTTGAAGGTGAGCTGATATGCCATGGTTAAGGTTTCCTATGCAAGTGATGAGCCACTGAAAGGCTGGAGTATTGCTGACTTGTAGAGGCGGGGTAACTTGGAATATTCAGCTGGAAAAGGAGCAGGAGTGGTAACAAGCAGCAGTAGTGGTAGTAAAGGCAGAAGCAGGTTCCACAGCAGAGTTCCCAGTGTGAGTCAGTGAATGCACAGCATACCAGCTAGCTGTCAGGAGGAGCCCAAACCCGACTATTGCAAGAGAGTCAGGGTTCATGTTTATCATGCAAAGTCATGTGGTCTTACTCTATCTTAACTTGCCAACTTCGCCTTAGTCCGGAGAAGAGCCTTTGCTGCAGTGCTTAAGAAAAAAAAAAGAAGAAAAAAGAAAAAAAAAAAAAAAGAAAAAAAAAGGGAGAGAGAGGGAGAAAAAAACAGAAGGAAAAATAAAGAAAATTGTGCAATGTTTGTTTATGCCTTCATCATGCCGAGGAGACACTTAACAGTAAATAACCTGTGTATACCTGAGGTAAGATACTGTTTCTGCTTTCCCTGCACAGTGCTGCTGCAGCACGGAGCTGATCCAAACATTCGGAACACCGATGGGAAATCTGCACTGGATCTGGCAGACCCTTCAGCAAAAGCTGTACTCACGGGTAAGATGCATACATCTCTCAGCACTGTAACCTGAGTTTATTTTGTGTGTATAAGTTCAGCATCAGAAGAGCCTTCTGCATTTCCAGATTTTCTGTTGTGTAAGAGCATTTTAAAAACTGGTTTTTTACCAGACTTCATGTTGATGTAATTGTTGTTAATCTGCTGTGCTGCTATAGGTTTGCTTATTCTACTTATGCTAGTGCTGTGATTTTCTGTTACAATATCATTTATTATTTACTGTATTTCTCTCGATTTTTTCTTTTTAATTGATATCCAATAGACAGATTGAACAGGATCTCCCTAGCACCTGAAAAAAAATAGGAAAAAAATCAGGTCAATTGTTTTAAGACCTTCACTGTTAGGCAAGCAAGGACGTTTGTGTAACTATAAAAGTACCTGTGATCTGAAAGACAACCTGCTACTGATTGCAGAGATCAATACTTACGTTAGATTTTGCTGCAGATTCACATGCTGTGCTTTCCTTCCTCTTCCTTGTTAGTCATTTTGGGTTGAACCCTTTCTCATCTACCAGTTTTTTCCGTTTTTAGGAGCTGTTAGCTGCAAAACAATGTTTCATGAAAATATCCTACAGATATAACTTGGTTTTTACAGAGCTTTGATTCTTTTATAAATTAACTGTTGTGGCATACCAGTGAGCATGAAAAGTATAATATAGTTGCCTGTCAAATCGGTATCAGAAATACATGATCCTCTGTGCTGATTTTGTCATCTAGGAAATAATGCTTAAAACAAAGTAATATTGAATTTTAAAATATATACAGTTAGATTTATAGAAAGGGATTCAGCAGCTGAGGTTCATTTAAAGGAATAGCTGTTCTTCTTTTGCCTTTATTTCTCCTATTCTCTCTCTCTTTTTATTGACAGCTTAATTTATAGGTTATGTGCTATGAAACACCCATATTCTTTCTTCAGATTATGTTCCGAGCACACCAGCTCACTTCACTTTGTCAAGAACATTTCCTCATCATCTTTCTTCAGTGCACTGAGTGCTATACATAATTATCTACAGCGCTGCAGTGATTTGAGAGTGCCTTTGGAACAGTGTACTTTAAATACATATGATTTACTTTAATTACTCTGTGTCAAATTTAAACACATTCCTACAGTGTTAACACTATTGTTAGCTGTGCTAAGCAGGTTAATCTGACTTTTGGCTGTTAATGGGTGCAGTTGTACAGATGCTGAAGATAGAGAGGGCAGCAGGGAGTCAGTGTACCTCAGAAGTGTTAACGGATATATGCCATTTACTTGTGGGGAACTTGACATACCTGCAGTGTGGGGGTTACAAGCCCCAAGCTGCTCTTCAGGTTACAAGCCCCAAGCTGATCTTCAGAGGATCGTAGAAGATTAGGAAAGTCTGTGACCTCATGTCTGCTCCACTGATTTCTCTGGGCACTGGATCACCTTGTGCTTTAGGCAGAGGAGGGGGCACTGTGTCATAGCAGACAAGTGGAGATGAATTTGAAGCAGCCCTCTGAGAACATCCTGTGAAATGCAGCCAGCCCCTGTCTCTGGGCTCGCCCCTAGTGCCTCACACATGACATCAGTGACTGAAGCTGTCTGCAGCCAGTGGATGTTACCAGGTTGTGCTTGGAGACACACGTGGTGCTATAAACATGTTGAGTTGTTCATAAGAAGCATCATTTTTATATGTGTTTGTTCTTCCCAGCAAGAAAATCAGCTTTTGTTTTATCAGCTTTGTCCTCAAGGTGGCTCTTGGCTACGCAGGGCTCTGTGCTGTGTACCTGAGTTCCAGGCTGTGCAAACAGGGCTGTAGCTGCCATGTGATGCACAATAACTGAAAAACCTAACACTGGAGATGTCATTTAAATGGAGCTATTAAGAGCTGTATTTTTCTGGGTGTTGCCCTGTTTTATACTATCTCTGTTAGGCTGCTATTTCTCATGCATTTTCCATATGTTGTTACCTTCAGGTATTGCTTCATCCCTCTGGAAGAAGGAGGCTTAAGGGATTTCTTAGGATCTGACTGGGGATAATCTTTAGCTACAGCAATGCTTTGCAATTAGGTGCATCAGAACTTAAAGGTATTACTGGATTAAGGATGAGGAGGATATATTAACTTGATTTTCAGTATTTAGTATTGAATGGTGGGGTTTTAGGAATGCTCATATTTAGAGCTTTTGGAAGTGGAGCACAGTCTGTAATTTGTTACTGTATTTGCATCTTTTAGCAGCATGCATGTCAAGGCTGCTCTCATTGCTATTTTTGATTCCTTTTTCTATCTGTGTCTGTCATAGAATGTCCTGGATTGGAAGGGACCTTAAAGACCATCTAGTTCCAACCCCCCTGCTGTGGACAGGAGGCACCTTTAATTAAACCAGGTTGCTCAGAGCTCCATCCAACCTGGCCTTAAATACCTCCATGTGTGGGGCATCCACAACTTCTCTGGGCAGCCTGTTCCAGTCTCACAGTAAAGAATTTATTCTTAACATCCAACTTAAACCTACCCTCTTTCAGTTTGGATCCATTTCCCCTTGTCCTATGCCTACACTCTCTTGTAAGAGGTCTCTCACCATCTCTCTTGTAGGCTCCCTGGTACTAAAAGTCCACAATTAAGTCACCCCAAATCCTTCTCTTCTCCAGGCTGAACTGTTCCAGTTCTCTCAGCCTTTCCTCATAGGAATCATGATGGATCATATGACATAATAGACTTTTCCACACTGCTGCTGTATTGGTTGTTGAAGAACACGGGTTCTTCTTAAAACTTTTTTAACCAAGTATTTGCATAGGTTCGTGCATCTGTGTTAATTGCTTTGCGAATGAACTGTGATTACAGTGTCCCTTTGACCTCCAGCACAGCAAAAGTAAACAGAAAACTTGCTGGTAATTGATTAAACCTTTTCAATTTGACAAAGAATTCTCTGTGTTTTAAAAGGGAAATTCCTGCTGCATTAAAGCCTTTCTGCTGTTCTGGCAGCAAATGCTCAATTCACAATGACTTGTTCTTTTCTGTCTTCCAGACTAGAATACTGTATACTCTCCTTTTCACCTAGATTGCAGAAAGGACATGTAATGCAGTAGTTTCTGGCATGACTTCCAGCCATTTTCCTGCAACATCCTCTTAAAATATGTGTTTTATAAGCATACATAATGCAGATGAAAGTCTAATATTTTGATGGAAATGGACTTAGAAAATTTCTTTGTAGAATAAAGGAAATTATATAGAAATTAAAGACCCACTACCATCTTCTTAAAAAAAAAAAAGTTACATAATTGAGGAATCTGCTTTTTACTACCTGGAAAGTAGCCTATTTTCCTCATTTTGCAGGATAGGCAGCATTTGTGTGAACCGAGCACTTCGTGTTTGAGAGGGTGAATATTTTCTTTCTTCTTACTTAGCATCCCATACTGTTCCTGAATCATGTTGTCAGGAAAATGGTTATAGTCCTCTTTTTCTCTAGGCTGAAGTGGTACTACAGGCTCCAAAAACATATTATATCTAAGGACATCCAAGAACTGTTAAATGCACCAGATTAATATCCTAGTTTATTTTTTTTTTTAGTTTGTCTTTGGGATGTGTGGTTTCTGAGATGGGAACTCATCTTTGTTGCCATCCATAACAGTGTGGCTCTCCCATCCAAAACAGGGCCTTTGGGAGCTTTTGCACTGCTGGTCATATTAGTCTTCATTATTTTCTTACCCTGACTGTTGCCTCTTTAAAAATTAACATCCTTTTATACAGTACATGATGAGCCAACACTATTGTTAATTATGTGAATTATATTTTTGGGGTTTTTTTTCCACACAGTGATGCTTTCCTGCCACTTATCCCTCATATTATCTGCTATTCAGAAATGCTTTCTTTGTGTGAATAGTTGTTCTTTGTAGTTGAGCAGTTTCCAAAGGAGCTGTTAGCAGGAGCTGAAGGCATTTTTGTTGGATAATATATTTTTGTCTGCTTCATTCCAGCGTTTTGTGGGGTTGGTTTTTGTTGGTTTCAAGGATTACTCCCTTGAAAAAGATCAAAATGAAAAAAGTCTGAAAACTGCTCCATCTCTAGATTAAAGGAAGATTTCTTAGTTGAGAAATAATGTCTTGTTTGTTAATAGAATCAATTTTCAAAGTTAAACAAGACTCTGATTTTCCTGTTTACTATGGAAATAATGTCTTTTACAAAGTGCTTTAGGTCCTATTGAGCGTTTATTACTTGAGTTTTTTGGATGTGAAGGACAGCTTGATAAGTGAAAATATAGCTGGGCTGAGGTTACTAGAGGTGTTAATGAGGATCCATGTTTTCATCTGTTTGTCATGTCAACTTTTTAATTTAAGCAGGAAGCATAGTTCATGTATTGAAATATATTTGCACAATTCTTTTTGAAGTGAACTGCCATTTATGTGTAATTTGCTTGCAAGGAAGAGAAAAATCTGATTTTTCATTGCAATAAGTTTAGTGAACTTCAGAGAATGGAAAATGAATTTTAGGTACAACTTACTATTTTAAAAATAGCAGTAAGAGAAGAAATTTTAGTTTGTTAATTTTGTTTTTCCTGTGGCACCTTTACAGCTTGACTGTCTCAAATCCTGAACTATTTCCTTTTGGGTTGGTGTTACTTCCTTCTAGGTACTCCTAGGACACTGAAGGCCTTCCAGAGAGACAGCAGCACTTCATTTTGGGAGTTGCTAACCTCTTGCTTTCATTTAATTGATGTAGTTCTTACATGGTGTGTACTAAATCAGATCATTTTGACAAGGTTTAGCTTCTATCTTTACTAAACTGTATAAAAAACATCAGTACAAAAGAAAAAGTGATTTCATGGTAAGGAGAGCAGATGCTGCTAGAAGGGTTTGGGCCACTCACTTGTCTGGCCTATTGTCCTCTTGGATGGTAACACTGGATCTGCTGCCTTACAGAACAGAGCAAGAAATCCCACAGTTGAGGAATACCGTTGACCTGCAGAAAACGTTCACCTTATTTCATATAAGCTGTTGGTGCATACCTTGAAGCAAGAGGTCTGAA